CTTCCCGATCTACTGAGCCGACCTGTGACAGTTTCATTGTCACAGGTCGGCTAAGATTATGAGGCTGAGTGAAAATCACTCGCCTCATAATTCTCCTTTAAGCTTGCAAGTACCAAAATAAAACAGATGAGTCCGTAACCGGGGTAGCCATCGCCTCGATTTAATGAATTTCCCTGGCAGCCTTCACAAGGACAGATACCAGCTCCTGTTCTTGCGCCAATTTAGCCTTAGGTACACCTCATCTTCACTACCACAACAGTCCGGATCTGAAGCCATAACCACAGATTCCAGATCCACAAAAGACGGCTTCCCATTAGACACTTGTTAACGGGAGGGCCACGACAAGGCCTTCGCAAATCAGAAAGCGAAGTCATCTATTGTGGAATGAACAGATTCAAAAGATTAAGGGGAAATTTGGGGCACCTGAAATCTCCTGCAAAGAAGTAGAGTAAGGCAGAAAAACCGGGATGGAAGCCGCAAACACAGGGTATGTTCATTGGGTGAACCAACATCACACATCCCCCATTTACAACATAGCGGGAAGGAAATCCTGTCCCTGGCGACCAGATTTCTTTTGAGTCTGCCATGACACCAGCCCCACCCCACACAGAAAGACCTACCACCCCCAGGCCACTGTTGCTTCCCCGCAGGAGAGCACAAAAAGTCCAGCACATGTAGAGCTGAAGGAGAGAGGGGCTGCGGCCAAGCTGTTGCAAAGCATCCTCCCCTGTTTTCCAGCACACCAAGCGATCCCTGAGGTCATATGCTGCGCCGCCGCAGGAGGGTCTCAGTACCTAGGGGCCTCATAAATAACACCCTTCAAGTAGGGAAGACCGCCCCCCCTCCCAGCCCATCCTAAACTCCCAGATGGAAAGCCAGATCCCACCTAGGAAAATTGTGGCTGAGGCACGTGCCACCACCAAAAACAAGAGGGGGTGGCGACCAGTTGCCAGGGGCATTAGGAACAGTGACTTATAGCGCTAGGGAGTCGCAGGGCCAGGGAATGCTGGCAACTGTAGTCCTTTGTCACGCTGGCACGTGTAGTCTCACAGGTAGAGGGCAGCCCCCACCAGTCCCCCAGGACTTACCTGAAGGCAGAAAAAGCTGGACATCCCCACTTGGAATGTCTCTAAATGCAGTATGGGTGCCAAAGGCAAGAACTGATACAGTGATGGACCTAAACCTGACTGGTCCCTAGTGTAACACCAGAGAGAAAAAACCCCACAGGCCGCTCTGCAAATGCAGTAGGAACTGCATGCGCTCGCAGACTGAACTGGGAAGACTACCAGGATTTATATATCTGGCCCATCACCCAGACTGCTGAAAATGAAAAAATGGACAAAGAGCCCAGTAAAAAAGGAATCTAGGTCCATCTTCTAGCCGCTAGGAAAAAAACGGAGTGGCTTGTTTGCAGACAGCGGGGTTGGTCACCGGCAGGGGCTTCCCGTTATGGTTTGTGTTTTTTTTTGTATGCCGAGAGTTCTACTCCTGCAGGTGGCAATATAACCATATTGGCCCAGTAATTCTATGGTTGTGTCATTCAAATAAATGGAAGAGAAAGCTTCCTTTTGCCGTTATGGATATTTAAAATTTTTTGGATCACCGAAATTATGTAGATTACGTTTTTTTAATGGCAGGTTATAAAAAAAAAACCACATTATTTAGAAAGCATTTTCAAATATTTGGGACACAAATTAAAGAAAAACAGGATGTTAAATGGTGGGACATAATATACTTGGACAGATATATTAACCCCTTTGTGACCAGTGACGTACATAGCATGTCACTGGCAGTGGCCCCGCTTAAACAGACTCAGTTTACATTTGTTGAGGCGGCCGGCTTTACAATAGAAGTGATTCTGGCATCCAGATCGCTTCTACGGGCCAGTAAACTGCACATGGGTGCAAAAACTGATAAAAGGCCTCGTCATTAAGGGGTTAAGGAAGGTCTAGTTTCCAGAAGGCTAAGGTACGAAGGTTTAAGTGATATGGCTTCAGATGACGAGTGGTACATTTTTTTTTTCCTTTTAACAATTGTGGTAGCGAACTACTCATTTTTGCCCCATTTAAAGAGATGACAAAATACACAACACAGAGAATCACACTCCATTTTTTAAGGTTGACTCAGAATGTGGATATAAGAAAGCAAAGACATTTGCAAGAGACACAGGGGATTATAAAAAAGGGACAAGTTTTTAAATGGCAAAATAATTGTGAGATTAATAAAGCAGCACATTTAAAAAAGTGATCAATGCAGATTTTAAAAAAAATGAGGGACATTGAAATAACTCAAAATATAAATAATACAGATGGTGACAACCAAATTTTAACCAAGGGTCCCAGAGACCGGAGGTTAAACATAATACACAACCAAATTGCAGGTATAGGCAGCATCAAAATTATGTATAACCACTTTGATCCCCTAAAATATGAGAAACATCAATGGGAATTCCTCAGAAATTGCAGAAGACAATCTATTCCTTAATAGAGATGTATTGGTGTACAATAAGGCAAAGAACAAAATTGCAAGGAAAACAATTTTGGATTTTAATTTACTGAGACATTGGAATATACTAAGAAACTATGATTTCAGCCGTACATGGGCTGAAATCAGCCGTTCATCTGCTGCACTTTGATCAGCCGAACATGCTCTGCACGGTCAGCTGAGCTGAAGTGTAGAAGGACTCAGCCGAGCCAACATCTGGATCGGCTGAACCGAAGCTCCGGCACCTCACTCGCTGCCGTTCGCCACTATTCACATAGGGGCTGGATGGCAGTGAGTAGCCAAATGCCACCGAGCGGCATTCGGCTATTCTGCTCAGTACCTCCGTGGTACCAAGCAGGATAGAAAGTCAATAAAAAGTTTAAAAAAAAAAGTTAGTTAAAAATATATTTTTTTAAATGTAAATAATTATTAGATGTAAAAAAAAAAAAAGATTTGTAGAAATAATAAAAAGTCCCGGCCAATCAACAACTGGGCATAGCATGCCGAGACTTCACAGCCGGCTCCGCCCAGATGTTATTGTTTAATGACAGATCAGTGTCCCCAGGTCATTTGGGGACGCTGATTTGTCATTACAACTGAGCGGAGCCAGCCGTGAGGTCACGGCTGGCTCTGCCCAGCTGTCATTTGCGAGCCGTACGGCCCGCTTCGGCAGTTGTATGGGCTATAGTCAATACCTCGTACAGCAGCCCTTTGGTTCGACTGAACCAAAGGGCTCCCGCAACCAAAGGCAGCCGATCCTTCGGCTAGCTTTGTGAAAAACCCTCTAGATGTCGGTCCAGAACTGAATCCAGGAAGGATAGAATGTGTCTCATGCAGTACTTCCTAGGATGAAACTTCCTGGCCTCGCACCACCCAAAGTATGTCTTCAGTGTGCGATGCTAGACATTCTGAAAGGAAAAAGATTTTCTAGCATTAAGGAGAGTAGACATAACAGCATCTGACAGGTCCCTACTCTTCAGAAGAGTCATGCCATAAAAGCCAGAAACTGAGAAGTAATTTCTACAGAAGGTCTGGATGGTGCTGAAAAGCCCACTTCTTAGGCAAGCCATCCAAGAGAGGCTGTAAAAGCACTAAAAGTAAAACTGAAAATGTTAGTAGGTTTAGGCCTTTTTAAAGGACCCAAACTCATGACCCTAGAAAGGGCCAATGCAGGCAGTTCTTACTGCAATGAAATGCATATTGAGTCCACAAGGACTTCTGTCCTTGTGGACTCAAAATTAGAAGGGGTCTATACGGAAGCGAGAGGGGACCCACTTGTGGCCCCTGCTGTTAGAAGTATCAAACAGATAAGCCATTTTACCCACAAAATCCATCATAACAGTGGTAAATACCCAAAAATCTTTAGCACCCATGGTAACCTTCCTCCATATATACGATGCCAAAATAGAAAAGGTAAAAAAAAGCGCCTCTCACTTGTGTAATATTGTAAATGTTTAATATTTAAATTCTGTATACTCACTTAACACTTAAAATCGACATGCATCCATATACAAAACAGCAAACATGATAACTGCAAAGATAAATAACCAGCAGACATATGTCTGACTGCTCTGATCCTCAGTGTAACAGGTTAAACGCGTTTTCAGGGGCACACCCCCTTACTCAGAGACCCAATTCCTCACTAAATAGCATATGCGAGGGAGGCCCAGAAGGGGCAGCAGGCGGCCACTTGCACCAGAGCCTCAGAAATGCTTTATAGGGGGTCTGAGGCTACCACTTTGAAACCTTAGGAACATAGCTGCGGCTTATTTCAGGGGCTTTTGGTCCTTACCAGAAAGCAAAGCGGTCAACTGGGACATGCCATTCAATCTTTGCCCTGTGGGTGACAGCCCTGTATCTGTAAAGTTCCCGGTGGCTAACCACATACGCTTCACAAACTGCCAAGGAGGGCGCCAAATGCATGGGCACACTGAATAAAATGCATACTAAGCACATTACAGCCTAACCTCGCATCTTCCTTTTAGTGGGGTCCAGATACTGTCAATTAAGGTTCTGCCAAGGAGAAAACTTACCTGGATACGTCTTGAGGCACCAAAGTGTCTTAGAGCAAAATTAGGGAAACTTGCTTAAAGAATCTTGCAGAAAAAAAAAAATTAAAACAATAGTGTAAAAGAGTACTTCTCTCAGAGCAGAGAGAAGCATCCATCACCTAAGGACACTAGCAAAAAACTGAGGCAAGCTGGGAGTGGGAGGGGTTATGCAGAACTGTCCTGCAGTTTTGATTTGTCCAATCGCCTGAACAATCCAGTGGTCTAAGCTCCCTGTCTCCTGTGAAGTACGATCAAGAAACAATGTTTGTGCTGGTTGTGTGTTTTCACTGTAGGAAAATCAGTGTGTACTGCTGGGGTGAGATCTCACTGGGGAAAGAAATCTGTATTTTAGGGATGGGATCTCACTGAAGAGTGAGTGCTGGAGGTAGGATCTCATTTGGGAAAGACCATTGTGCGTGCTGAAGGTGTAAGCACTATATATTCCCTTTAACTAGCATAATTTACCTCTGAAACAATGATGTCCATTTGACGCCGCAATTTCCGAAGTGTATTCATCAGCTGTTCTGGATCCTTGTGTATTCCAACCCAGCATCCGTTCACAAATATTTTTGTAGCACTACAATTCAAAATGGTAAAAAGAAAAATGCAGTTTATGAAGAAAAACAACATGCAACACTTAACACCTAAACTTTATACCCCCACAGTAGATCTTAAAATATGTCTCCTTAGGTTCAATATCTTGAACAAATTGGATATGCCAAACACAAGGACACAAACAATTCTTCAAAATGTGGTCCAAGTTTTTAGTTGCAAAACCAACCCATGAACAATGGCAAATTATTATGGGTATGTTTTGGCATATGGCACAGTATTTACCAGAACAGAAGGAAACCTTGGGTCAACACCAAATCTTAGCAGAGAACCTAGACAGTGAGAAGAAAAAAAAAAAAGACGAAGACGAAGAAACCCCATAGAACTAAAAAGAGGCACTATATATGAGCAAGCCTGCTAAAACATCCCCTACATAGTGTGGTCCTTTTTATGGGGTATAAAATATGCCTATACCCAATATGAAATGAGGTAGGATCACAGCCAATATGAACCTCAAACATCATCAGCTGGTTAAAAAAAAAAAAAAAAAAAAAGTCAAGTTTATTGGTTATAATATTTATACAATGCCTTTCCTACAAAGTATACCTATTTTCTATCAGTAGAACAGAAAAGGTTTAACCCCTTAATGACCTTTTCGCTGCCAAGGCCTTTTTTTTTCCCCTTCATTTTTTGCACACATTATAAATCAACATTTTAGGTCTAAATATTACTCCAAACCCCCTATTATATATTTTCTTTTTTCTATATTATTGGTGGCAGTTGCAAATTTGTATGTTGCACGATATTAGAGCAACTCTTTATCAAGCCCCAAAAGTTTGTGAAAAATGCACTTTAAGTTAAATTTAGTGCCCCAAAACCCAATATAATACCCATTTCTGTCAAACAGGAAAAAAAGATGAGGTTACAACGAGTAAATAGATGCACAACATGCCAAGGTTAAAAATTGTGTGCGTCTGTGAAACGGCGACAAAACTCAGTACCCCAAAAAGTCCATAGACGCTTTAAGAGCCCCTACCAGGAGTCTGTTGAAACAGGCCTGCTGCCAATGACGTACTGGTCATTAAGGGGTTAAAATTACTTTGTTGCATATTTAACCCCTGCAGATCATACCAACATACAGTACGCCCCTATATTGTTTCTGCAATTTGGATGTTTGTACTGTATATGACTTGTAACAAAAAAAGCAAATCCAACAAATGCTATTCACTGTTAGAGTGACTGTTTCAGTTAATGCTTTTAGTCACTGACTCAAAGAAGAATGCAGGTTAGGACTTTAGATTTTCCAGATCTGCATACCTGTATTAGGCCACTGATTTAAAAGAGAACTATGGGCCAACATTTTTTGGCCATAGTTCTCTTTCGGATCACAGGAGGACATAAAACTCAAATAGCGGGCTATTGCCTGCTATATGCAGACAGCGCAGAGCCGCGCTGAGGCTGGGATGGATCCCGACAATATTTTTGGAATCCACCCCACCACCCGATTGACAGCTGGCTCTGCCTCTCTAGAGATAGAGCTAGCTGTGCCTGCCCCCTCCCGTCAGGCCCTTCAGTCAGCGCTGGTGGAACGGAGAGGGGGTAATCCCTGTGGGGAGTGGTGACTGACTGTCACCGCTTTCTGCAGGGAGAGGATCAAGAACTGAGTGATAGAGCCAACGTGACAGCTTCCGTGTCATACATCAGTCCTAATTACAAGGAAGAATGTATTTCACTCTCCCAATAATTCTCCTTTAAGCACTAAATCCAGATGATCAGCATTGGCAACCAATGACTGCTTGGTCATGTACTTTAGCGCTTTCACTGCCAAGCCCTCCGGAACATTTTGCACCTCAGCTAGCCACACCATTTTTGCAATTTTTCCCATTGATTTGATTTTCCAATTGCTGTGTTGCTAGCGTATGTAATAAAAAAAAACCACAAAAGCATATTTTTTTCTGAAAGCACAGGCTTGGTATAATAAAAAGATGCCGATACTAAATTTGTAGGCCCTGCGATAATTGCGCAAATGTTTCTCAAATTCAAATAAAACGATAAAAAACACACAATTGAATTGATAAAGCACACTAAAATCCGTATCAGTGCACATAAAAAAATTCCGACTAAATCTAAAAGATAAAAAAACCTGTATTGAGTTAAAAAATAAAATATTTGCACATTTTAAATTGCGCCTTTTTGCAAAAAGGCAAAAAAAAATAATGAAGGAACATTTAATTGCAACACAAGGTATCACAATGTATGGCAATGCGTCACAAAGCTTTGCCATGCACTGCCACAGTTAAATTAAAATTTTAATACATTTTTTTAAAAACTGCGATGCGTTCCAACAATGCCCTTTATCCAGCTGCCCTTTAGAATACAGGTTGTGCCTAACAGGTCGGGGCCAAAGTTAAATGGAAGTACAGATCAGGGTTGGGTTATGAAAAAATATGCAAAACTTTTAACCATACCACGGAGATCTATTAAATCCATTATTAAAAAATGGAAAGAATTTGGCACCACAACAAACCTGCCACAAGGATTTGCCAAAACTGTCACCGACTCTCAGAACAGAGCCATGGCCAATCCAAGCAGTGGTTTTGTTGAGGCGGAACAGAGTCCTGGGAGGATTGGTGGTGTGGCGTACTGACAGAGGGGGCAAACAGTGTGGGAGAAACAGTAATGGAATCCTACACGGCAAGACAATTCTTCTTTCTCAAGCCATGTCAGTCACATCTGCCAGGCTGCTCCATCCACCTGCAGGATGGTACAAGTTGCTGCTTCTGGTCTGTATCCAAACCACAAGACATTGTTGTTACTCTGGTACTGCTTGCCACATCGCTCCAAAAGTAAGTAGAGAGAGACTCGTTGTCTGCAATAAATTCACCATGCATTTGTAAATAGCTATCTTTTTCATACTAGACTTTACAATAATTATAAAAAGCTCCCATTTTTCATTTATGGTGTTCAAATACACTAAGAGGTTTGTACAGGCCTGTGAACTGGACTACATATTTGCCACGTGTCTAAAAGAACCCAAAAGAATAGACTATTAGCAAAAGTGACTGTTTCTTTTATCATGAAAGCATTCATACTCACTCTGCAATGGCAGCAGGGGATATTTCTTCAAGGTTTTCCATGCTCCACTCTTCCAAGAACTCCAATATTGGTGAAGGCTGAGATCCCACAGATATATAAGCCATTAAAGCAAGATTCTTTACAAGGCCCACAGCATGACCCTATAAATTGGCAAAATTGAAATTAGACATCCAATAGATAGAGAATACACTGTCCCTTAGTCCTGCAGACAAATCAGATAGCATCCCTATCTGCATAAAAGCCTTGATAACATTTCTTTATACAATGGCTATGTGAGGCATATCCCATTAAAACTGGTTACAAAAGGAGAAAGGAATGTTCTAGGAGGTGACTGATTAAAAGTACACCTTTTAGTACACTGCCTTAAAAATCTATGCATTTTCATGCAGGTTTTTGTGAAATATAGATGATATTTTAAGAAATGCAAGAATTAACGCATGAAAAAAAATTTAAATAAACAGAACCTAAATTTCAGGCTGTTGGCTACGCATACCAATCAAAGAGCCCCCCCTGCCCATGTGGTCCCTACTGGCTGTATTTTATGCTTTTTGTTTTATTGTTTTTTATGGGCTCTGGGGGCCTCTTCTCCAATTAAATTGTTTATTAGTTTATTATATGTAATTAACACATAGGATTTGGGTGGTGCTATGGAAAAAGTATGGAGTAATTAAATAATATTCATTTCACTAGTTATACTGAGACATTTTGAAGTTCTCTCTTATAAGTTTTCTCTAAAGATTAGAGTTGTTTCTTTATTATTCTTTACTATTATTTATAATTATTAACTTTTTTATTCACCTATTTATAATGACCAGAATTGTATGCTGTGAAGTTTTTATATCTTAAAGGGTTCGTGATTAATAAGAGCACACATTGTTAAATTAAAGATCCTTTATACATATTCTTGTAATAGATTATGTACATTAAATATATTTTTATAGATTATATAGTATTTGGGTGGTGCTATTACCTGTTGATATAATATTTATGTTCTATATATTTGTGGTCAATAATTGCCGAAGGTATCGTGTTTTTGATTGTATTAATCTTGCCTTTGCATATGTTTCCAATTAATGATCGTACTCTAGAGTACATATGGCAGACTGGAGTGTGACTCGTGTAGACCTGCCATCCCTTGATAACGTCTGACGAAACGCGTCGGGGCAGGCCTTCATTCACGTCACACTTTGTCTGGAGAGTCACGCTTGACCGACCAGCCGGCTGTTTTACAATTTTTATCTAAGCGCTATTGTGTTTTTTAATATACAATAAATTCCTTATTTACTACACCATGAGCGTATTGCGCTCTTCCTTCATGGCCTCGATTGGGAGATAATCATAGGATCCTAGCGAGCTTTAAGGACGAGAGGACGTAGAGCTCAGCTCCAGTTTTCATTCCGGCGAACTAAACTGCCTTAATAACATCTTACCTGTGGTGAGTGCATACCCTAGAGGGGATTCCTTTTGGTTTTTGTTGAACACATCACAGACTTATTGTTTTTTGGGGGAAACACATTGACTTCACTGTTTTTTTCTTCAAGAATAGACCAGAGACTTTTTTTTGCCGTTTTGTTTTTATTTATATTAATTCTTTTCTTGAAGAAAATAGATCCGAAGAAAATAAACTTTGGCAGTTTTTGTTGTTTTGTTCTCATTTTGAAACTTTAAGTTAGGCCCCGTTCCCACTGCGCGATATGCAAATCGCGCGTTTGTCACGCGATTTGCATTTTGCGCGACATCGCGAGATTTGCCGTGCGATGTCGCATTCAAGCTTGCATTGAGCAAGCTTGAATCGCGGCTAAAACCGCTCCAAAAAGGGTCCTGCTGTAGCGACACACGACCCGCGACAGCAGGACCCTTTGCCCCATTGGAGTGCATTGGAGCGCGATATCGCGCGGTAATTTGCCGCGATATCGCGGGAATTACCGCGCGATAAATCGCTCAATGCGAACGGGGTCTGAAAGTAAATTTCCTTCATTGGAATTCTTTCGACAAGCCATGAGAGATCAAAAGAAAACTTTGTCACATTGTGAATGCTTTGTCGTCACATTGGAATAAGGTTTTGTGTTGCAAAACTTTACACTTTAATATTTTCGTTTCACTTCACTTATTAGCAACTTAATATAATATTTGTTTCGGAATTGTGCTGGTTTAGATACTTTCAGTTACACCTGTTTTTTTCCTCCGAGAGGTCTGAACAGACAGTGCCTTTTATTATTGAGATTTATAGTTTGCAGTGTGGATGTTTTTGCATGTACAAGTTGTCACATGTTGTACACCTCTATTTACACAGAGATTTGATTCATTTACATATAGTTCTTTGTGAAGATTATGTTCGACACTTAATTGTACTATTCTATTTAACACTATAACCCTATATCTTTGGGTGCATCACTGAGAGGCTTTTAGTGCTGTACCTTGCATCGATTAACCCATAAGGCTTACCGCCTGAGTCTAGCAGCTTCTAGCTAGTCGGTTTTTCTGTTTGGTCCTTTTTTTCTTTTTCCATTAGCGCAGGTTTTAACTATTATATACTTTTTGAAAAATAAACTTGTCCAGCACTGGCGTGACGAGAGGACAAGTGACAGCGCGCACCGGTTTAAAAATAGTAACCAGCGCACACTGTGCAAGGGTTAATAAAAAAATGTTTTCCTGTAGTTCTTAAAGCACCAATTTATTGCCGTAAAAATGCTCTTCCAGCCCTTGCACTGCAGCGCCTTGTGATATCAGAGCTTAGTAACAGCCACAACCCTCGGCATCATCACACAGACTTATATTGAGGAGCATGGGAGGGGGCATATCTGGCCAATCTCAGTTACATTACAGAGAGCAAAGGACAGGGCTTGAAAAATCCGCTCGTCTGTGACCAGATGACGGTGGAGCCCGACGAGTATCTTCCCACCCGACCGTTGTAATGAAATCGGCCGGCCGGGAGCTTTACATTCAAGCGTCTCTAGACACACCCGACTGCTTGTATAGGAGCAGCTGTCATTGCCTTGCCAGTCCCGAGAACCGCCGAGATCGGCTGCTCTGTGACAGGAGCTCGGTACACGATCTCCCTTTGATCTCATCTCTGGTCCCCGAATGCAGGAAGTGATGTATATTACAATATTTCCTGCATTCAGTGTCACTCTCCAGCTTGAGAACCTTGTGAAGCAGATCTGTTTCATCAGCTTCTCTGGGGGTTCCTAGGTGACATTAGGGGTCTTGGAGACCTCGATGTCTCCATAAAGAGGACCTGTCATGTAAATTGGCTATCACATAGGGGGCTTCTTATCCCCCTATGTGATAGCCATAAAGTAAATAAATTAAAAAAGCAGCATAAAAATTTTTTTTTTTTAAAGTCCCCCGCCCCCCCAAATACACGCAAACATGCATCGGGTGCGCCTACATGCAATTAGGTAATATGGTATGATGAGAACATTTTTAAAAAGAATTTTGTTATTTTATTGGGGTTTGTTTTTGTATTGATGTTTTAACTATGTATTTATGGATGTAAAATTAAAAAATGACCAGTTTTGTCAGGCTACTGTACCCATTACAGACTATTCCGCTGCTTCTGAAGCATTTGGACATTTAACGCCTTAATAAATCCAGGACTCAATTTGGCGCGCTAAACGCCCTAGAAAATCCATTAAAAAACTATGGCTCCCGAAGAGCGGAGGGGGTTGCTAACTTCCCAAATATTCGTCTTTATAATGCGGCATGTCTACCGAGACATGCACTGTCTGACAACTTAAGCGTTTCTAACACGGTCCTCGAACAGGCCCTGGTATACCTGTGGGATCTTAAAGCCGTTTTACATTGTAAATTGTCTGTGCTACCAGGGGAATTCTCTTGCAACCTCTTGATCAGGGACACCATCATTGCGTGGAGAGAGAGTTTCACAAACGGATGCAACCGTCACCGCATCGCTCCACCTACTGCCCGATACAGGGACGCAGTGGTAACCTTTCATGACCTTATGGACAAGTCTTTCTGCACTCTACAATCAAGAATGTGAATCGCTGAGACCTACTTGATGGCAGTCTACCAAAGAGAAAGAAAAAAGGCCCTGGCATGAAATGATGATGCTAGCTGAATGATCTTAATCTAAAATTCTATCCCTACTTCCCCATTTCCCTTAATTGTAATTAGACGTTATGTATATCCCTATTTGTCAATAAACCCAAACCTTAACCACTTCCAGCGGGTTCACGTAATACGTCCTCCGCTGGAAATGGTTATACCAAGAACACGGCAGCTGCTGCATCCGTGTTCTTGGTATCGTTTTAAACAGCTGGCGATTGCGGTTTAAATACAAGTGATCCGGCATCTGTACAGGCACCGGATCACTTGTACAGTGCAGGGCCATGTCACCATCCCGCCCCCCCCCCTCCACTGTCCCCAGTGTCAGTCCAGCACCGGCACAGCAGGTCTCCCCTGATGGATCGTAGGAGAGATTAGGGGCTTCGCTTGCAGAAGTTATATAATTGTTTGGGGGTCTGAAGCTGTTTTCTAGCCAAAAATTCACATTATATCATGTGTGTGCAAAAGAAATTGCTCTGGCAGCAAGTGGTTAATATTTAGTTGTCCGTCATTAAATCGAGGCACCCCAAAGCAGAGCACAGGTTACACCTCCTTAATAGTTTATATACACCACAACCATGGCGTTGTTGGATTGGACCCTTGATTGGATCCAGTGCTACACAGAGTAATTCCTCTCCTCTTCAGAACACGGATGTTCTATCTTTCCTCACTGAGAAAGTCACCTGTGCAGTCAACATTCTTACAGTCTCCAGTGTCAGGCCAGAAATCAACAAAGCATGTGAGGTTCTCGCCATGGCTAACACGCGTATGGAATGATACAGGAAGTGAATTGGTTTGTCCAGCACAGCTAAAATGCTCAGTTGGAGTGGTCTGGACTGGGACTGAGCATATGGTACTGCCTCAACGGAGGTTACGATCCGACCCAAGACCCTCATGCAAAATCTCCTTGGGTTGGGCTGGTCCTTGGCTTAAAAGGGTCCAAAAGGTAAAAACCAGACAATTTTCTCTGGGTGGATAATCACCCGTGACTAGTCACTATATACGAGAAGACATTTAAGGCAGTGAGTCGGGATAAACAGACAATGCTGTATTTGACTTGTCCTGTGCATGT